ATTGTATCGCGTTGAATGGTAGGATAATTATTGGATAATGGATAGGATGTAGGACACAGTCAGGGCCTAATTCAAGGCATTATCCTGGCTTTTGCCAGTGAAAACCACTAAATATATGACGACAGACAGTCTCTGGGCTGAAATTTGAGCTGAGGACGTCTCGGATATGAAGCAGGAGTGCCAATCACTTGATTGTGACATTCAGCATTATGAAAAAGTAAGAGAATGTCAGGGGTTGACACCTTTTTGTCATTTTAAAAGGTCCAACTTAAAATGTGTTAGTTTTGAAGGGAGGCTGTCGTACCGTAATACATGTAGGTATAGCGCTGGCTGGCCTATTTCTTTCACTGTAAAGGATTTTCGGATCATTTCTTGACTTCGTCCCATTCAGAAGCGTAAATGTACGCTGCCCAGTGCTTCTTAAAGTGATCGAAAAACTCGAGATGGAAAATATTCTTTCCTGTACAATTATTGGTTCGGAAGAAGTCATTGATTTATAGAAGAAAAAAATGTGTCTGTATGAAGCTTTAAATATCCATCTTCTTCACATGTTGGTACCAGTGCATGCCATGTGACACACAAGTTATGGTAACAGTTAGGCATTAGAGATGTCGAAGAAAAGTAATTTATCACAGTTTAAAAATAAAATAAATTTGCTCAATTCCCAAATACCGAGTTGTTTGCTTATAGCCAGGGCTTTATAAATCTCGTTGTCATGAAACTGTGAAATTATTACGTAACTTCTGTTTTTGGTACTATTACGTTAATCAAAATATGTGTAATAAAATGTTGAGAGATAGTTCGTAGCTGTGAACTGAAACTATCAATGCTGCTTCAACGTAAAATTTGATTCTATGAACAGTCTTTATTTTACAAATTTTCTTGCGTGCACACGTGAAATGTTAAAAAGACTAATTAATTGTTTATTTTTACTCTAAAAAATAAATATGAGACTGAAAAAAAAAATTGATACTGTATATTTCAGTGACAAGTGAATAACACTTCACAGAATATATTTTCTTGATGTAAGGCAGGTGGATGGGAAAATATATTTTATTGGGTCACCTTTTGTCCTGGACTTGATCATAATGAAAGCTTGATAATAAAATGTTATGATGAAATGAATAATGCAGAAATCACATAAGAAATTTCAGGGAAAATCATAATACAGTTTATTTTTTCAGGTACTGTTTGTATCCCAGTACATGGAATATTTTGGTTTTTTTTTTTCGGTATAATCTGTTGTAAGGAATTAAGCGTTGAGAGACTAAGAAACTTCAAATTAATTTTCTTAGCTACATCCTTCAGCAATAAAATATACAAGACGATGGTACACTGAATATATTGAAGTACACACAGCAGTAACATAAGTTATCCCAGTCTAAGTAAAAATTGGCAGTGATAAATATATTAGGTTTAAAGAGGGTTTGGTAATACGACAAATGATGCGGACAGCGAGTTTAAATAGCAACCTCATATGTTCTTTGAGGTCACAATTTACTCTTTTCCACGTTAGAAACTAAATATGGTATGCTAGAGCCCTTAAACTTTTGTACTTATTTTATTTTTAGTGGTACTGGAAAGTTAGGAAGGAAGTGGTCGTCGCCTAATTTAATGTACTATATTAACATATGCCTTGAGGTACTGGGATACTGGGAACGACCCGTTCTTCGAGTGCCTGAGCACTGCGGGTCCCAACTTTTCGTCGGCTTTGATCTATGGACATTCGGTAGGACTCCTTGGACGAGGGATCGGCCCGTCGCAAGGCCTCTACCTGTACACAGGACAACGCGACACAGAAAGACGCGGACAGACATCCATGGCTTGAGTGGGATTCGAACCCACGGTCCCAGCGACC